AAGAAATATCATAGTTAAGCATATAGATTAAGTTAAAAATGGGAGGTGATCCCATTAACTTAATCTGGGGGTAATTGGGCCCTTAATAGACCCAAATTGGGCCGAATGGATCAATCCATTCGAACCAGAATTCCTGCTAGGCGGTGGCACGGAGATGGTCTCCCAGGAAAGCTGGATGGTGCAACTGCCCAGGTCAAGCGGTGGCACCGCCTGGGCTCAGTCTCTGAGCGAGACTAGGCGGTGCAACCGCCCCTGTCAGGCGGTGGCACCGCCCAGAGGCTCAGTCTCCAAGCTGCCAGGCGGTTGTACCGCCCTAGTCAGGAGGTAGTACCGCTAGGACCCCGAAAATCCGGGAAAAGACACTTTTAAGCTCTAAATTCAAACCAGTTTGGGGCCTATATAAACCCCACCATTTCCTGCATGAAAGGGCAACCAAAGGCATTGAAAATCCAATCTTACTCTATGATTTTTAGAGCTCAAAAGTGTTATAAAGGCTAGAAGTTATCCTCCTTTTCTTCCAAGTTTTGCTCCTTCAAGAGAGGAGAGAAAAGTTTGTAAGGGTTGTTTCCTAAGCCCGTCAAAAGGAGTGAAACTATAAAAGGGTGGTTGGCCTTCGCCTATTAAAGGAAGGCCTCTAGTGGACGTCGGTGACCTCATCGGAGGAGGAAGCCAAAAGTGGATGTAGGTCAAGATTGACCGAACCACTCTAAATCTTGGTTTGCATTTACTTTATGTTTTCTATCTTAACTGCAAACTGCCTTCATAGCTTTACTTTAACTGCACTTCACCTAATCTAAGTTAAAGCAACTTCCGAATCGGCTTTTATATCGAAATCGCTTTTATCGTACGAACGTCGTATTTCGGTTTACAATTACATTCTGTTCTCTATCTTAACTGCAAACTGCCTCTATATCTTTACTCTAATTGCATCTCGCTTGATCACAAGTTAAAGTGATTTCCGAATCGGCTTTATTACCGAAATCGTTTTTATCGTACGAACGTCGTTTCCCCCCCCCTCTTGATTCAGGACCAATAGGCTTCTAATCAAGTTGGCATAGGTTATGCCCCAAAATCAACTCAATTAGACGCTAAATGAATTTGATCAAGACTTAATAACTCTAATTATAATCTAGAAACCTTTAGCATGTTGTTCGACATGTTATCTGCTCATTTGACATTTCATATTAACCTTTGGCGCATTGTACTTTTATTTGGTGTATTGTCTGATCTATCGAGATGTTGACCTCTCGTAGCATTCGATCTTTTTGGCACAATACCCGATCCTTCCGGTCCGATGCCCGAACTCATGACATGAAGTCTATTCTTTGGCATGTCAATCAACATCTGACCTAATGTTTGATTCTCTTACTTGGTTTGAGTCTATAATCAAAGTTTTTCTAGAATTCAGTTTGGTATGGCCAGCAAAAGGCATTCTACATCCATAAGGAGAAATGTTGTCTTTTCTATATTCATAATCGATAAACATAAATATTATAAGGTTATCCAAAATATATAAACCTTAAGTATGAAAAATATAAGGATTTGACATCGTTTAATTTAAAATATATGATGTGGAACCAATTTACCTTATATCTTATTTAATAAATTTAATTATATTATAAGTTATTTTGTACATATTATAAGTTGACACTTGACAATATTTGGAATAATTTTAATTTAGTTTCCTAGATTACTCAAGAAAAATAGAAAAGTAAGCAAATTATGATTATGATTGAGTATTTCAAATCTTGAATATTTGAATGATTGGCGAAAGTCTGAATTAGTCAAATCAAATCAAGAATATTATGTTTTTGAAAAAATAATAAACATATGATTTGATATAACTATAATTTTTCTCTTAGAATATAAATTGAATCAATAAATTGAGTTCTTTTTCATAAATTATGTATGAGTCATTGTTAATTGAGTCGGATAATTATCTCTTTTTTTAATTATTTTATCATTATATTTTTTCTATTTTTATCCTATATTATAAAAAATATGTATGTTGTTATTTATCCTACATCAATATGTCACAAACCTCTCTAACACTAAAAAAAAAAAAAAGGTATTTTGCTCCTATAATGACATTGATGATTAAGGTTGATGTTTTGAACTAGTTACGTGTTATTGAAAAGTTACAATATTTTTTTTGAAGTAACCAAAAATACTATAAGTCAATTTAAAAATAAAAATATTGTAGTCAGGTAATGTCTAATAATTATTTTCATCATTATTTAATAATAAACAAACATAAATATTATAAGAATTTCTAATATACACATACACACACACCACATCCCCATCCTCCCCCCCACCCCACCCCCTAAATTTAAGGCTAAGTTCAAAATTAATGTCATCCTTTATGTTTATCATTTTATGAAACCTTAAAATCTAATGTTACAACTCAGTAACCAAAAACATTGAAAGTCCATTTAGAAACATTGTAAGAATCGATTCATCATCCTTACTGGATCTCTACGTGAAGCCACTTTTTTTTTTTCTGACAATAAGGATATCTTAGTCATTTTACAAAGGAATGAACCCTACATGAAAGCAACTCGGATGGAAGGAGGGCATTATTTGATATCGATTTTCTTGTAGAAAGTTCTGAACGAGGAAGGAAAAACCTCATCGGTAATTATTATCTTGAGAAGATTAACTTTGAGGATCTAATTATGCTTTGACAAAATGCTCGATTCCGACTCCTCGCACGCGCGCACCCCTTCCACGATTTGGTCGCGACAATTCATCATCACACGAGGCCATGGGAACTTGGATTCGGTGGCACGTTGCATGCGGCCTATCTTCCGAGCCATACCACCCCCCGCGGCGTCCGAAAACAGCATGCCATAGATTTCCCTTTTTCCTGTGTCTGATGGCGAACCGGAGGTCTTTCTCTTGGTTTTGGCTTTCATCATCATCTTCCAAGGCGCTGAGGACGTGCAGGCTTCTGACGCCCCCGGTCGTTCCTTTTTCTGTCACCGCCTCTCCCACCAAACTTTCCCACCTAACTCATTCGTCAATTCCTGGGGGAGGGGCCCATTCCCATCATCGTTCTTATCTACTTCTCCGGAATCCCTCGCTTTAGAGCTGGTCCTCGTGTTCTCTGCCCCAAAAGTGAAGCCCTAATCACGTCTCCCAGAAAGAAACCTTCAGCAAGAGCGAAAGAAGAGCACGCGGTTTATGCCGTTGTGAGAACTTCCAACACATTAATTGTAGTAAGAGTGCAACTGACGAGGTAATTACTTCCTTATGCTGGATGTGTTGTGCGGTAATAAATCTGAGGCCGGAGCACAACGTACTGTTCCACCCACCCGCCGACCTTAATGCGTTTGTAGGGAAATAAAGCAGAAAGAGAAGACATGGTCGATCTCTCTTCCGTGGAAGAGGATTCTTTAGAACATCGATCTACGGTGATCTTCCTTTACTTGCTTCAATTTTTATCCTTTTTTAAGTTCTGCTGCCGGAAGAGAGAGGACCTGCCGTACTCTTTTTACTTGCTTTCCTATTCCCTATCTATCTTCTCTCCCAGTCTTCTTTTTGATGTTCAGCCCTAAACTCTGGTCCATAGTAACTACGTGAGCATCTGAATTTAGAGAAGACTACATTAATTCTAGCCGACGTCATATGTCACGAAATAGTGGATCCAAGCCCAATGGTTTCATACTACAACTTGTCTTCTTTCAAACCTAACGTTCTTCATTATGGTTTCATGCATTTCAACTGGTGGTTGTTTTGGCCCTTTCGGTAGCTTTTTCTCCATCAGCCTTCCTTTCTCAGCACCACTACCAGTCTCCTCTCCGCTTAAGCATCCATTCACTAGTCCCTTTCTCTTTTCTCCTTCCTTTGTGTCTTGACACAAGTTAACTAAAGCTAGACGCTTTTATCTCTTCTCCTATCTCGACGTGTATACTCGAGCATTGCAACTTTTGTTTTGTGGTTGATGGCACGTGAATGACGCAAGTGTTCATCAGATTATGATTTCTCGCCGCTGTGGATGCCTATCTGGAGTTCGTCCTCCTCGCTCCCTGTTCTCATCTTAAAGCTGCGAGGGGGTTTTGGTTACGCTTCCTTAAGAAAAGGTCTCCGGGACTCTCTTCGATCGGTACGTAACGTGACTTTGGTATGTTGGATTCTTTTCCTCTGTTAGACTCCTCTTTCCTTGTGGCGTCTTCTTCCAACGGCTTTTATTTACTCATTTGTCTTTAATTTTTTCCCCCGCCTTCTTCTCTCTGTGCGTGTTCATGCGTCGTTGATGTGAAAAACTTGAGTTCAGAAATGTTGGAGCCTTCTATCTTCGACCTGAGTGGAGTCTGATATATGCTTTCTGTGCAGCAGATATGTGCAATTATTAGAATCATACATTATCTGAACGTCCCAAGTTCAAGTTGCCAACTTAATCTACAATCTCAAGCTTGTAGATTTGGTTTCAAGCTTGGGTTGCACGAACGATCCTAACATTCATACCTTAATACTTGAATAGCATGGTTTAGGATTCATTACGCTTGCGGGAGACATCATGAAATGTCTTTTTCAGTTTCGACCCAAAACAAGAAGATTTTACGAAACGTTGATAGAAAATTTTCTTTCGAAAAATAGAAAGCATGAGAAGTTTGAGGGTAAGATATCCTGTGAATCTGCAGGAAGGAACTTGCAAACAGAAATCCCGCTTCTGGACTTGGAAGGACCAGCGTTTCTCCGATCCTCGATTAGACTGTATTAACACATTGAATTCTGAATAGCGCTTTCTCGATCTATAATTTTAGTTGCTTGTGATCTCGAACCGTCGAGGTCTCTTGCTCGGCTCCTGGCTCCTACTGGATTCCTGAAGCTAGAAGATGCTGGATATTTCCAGTTTGATGCAGGTGGGAAATGCGAGATGAGAAGAAGAATGATATCGCGAGACCTGTAGCGTCAGAACCTTTCCGAATTTTCAGCTTCTTTCCCGTGGTCGGCGTCCGCCATGAGTTCTCCTTCATCTTCTTTTGCCATCAAACCGAAGGCTATGAAATTTGATCCAACATCGAACGATCGCGCAGCTAAAGCTGTCTCGCCCGCCGTGAGTTCAAGAGCGCCTTTTCTTTTCGATTCATGGATTTTGGAATCTGTATTTACACCTTCTGGTTCTTGGTGACAAACCTCGCTCTGCAGGATGATGTATCAGAATCAGCCGCCTCTCGTTTATCGGAAAAGTTGTGCATGACGACTCTGCAAGCGGATTCTCCGCTAAACATCCTCTACAAACCTACCGCGAAGGTTGTGTCGAGGGCCACCGCTGCACTCTTGGCGAATCTGGTCAGTTGGTTTCCTCTATACGTTTCGATTCATCTCCCCCTGACTAGTTAAAATGGATGGATGTAAACGGTACTTCACTGATTTGGATCAGGAAAATCCCGATGCCATTCGTCAAAAGCCAACAAGAAACTATCAACAACCAGCTGTAGTTGTGGAGCAAGCAAAACCAGATTACGTCGCCGGCCGTCGACAGAGTTGTTCACGGTCTGATCTGAAAAATCAGCAGCAGCCAACGGGCTGCGGAGATCGACCTTCGTACGATGGATACAATTGGCGAAAGTACGGGCAAAAGCAAGTAAAAGGAAGCGAATCCCCGAGAAGTTACTACAAATGCACGCACCCTGCGTGCCCTGTGAAGAAGAAAGTGGAGAGATCGTTGGAAGGGCAGATAGCCGAGATTGTCTACAACGGGGAACACAACCACCCCAAGCCTCTGCCTCCCAGGAAACTCTCCTCGGGCTCGCAAGGCCAGGCCTTCTTCTCCGAGGAGGCCGGACGAGAGGCTGGCAGTAATCCATCGTGGGGTAGTTCCGTGTCAGAGGTGAAGGTCTCTGCTACGAGCGTGGATGAGCAAAACGAACCCAGCTTGGCTGGGATTCCCACCTATGCCGGGCGGGTGCACTTCTCCCACGAGTCTTTTATCGCCACCACCTACGATAGCAGCGATAACAACACCGACGCTAGCACTCAGATTGGGAAGGTGGGAAGCAGAAGCAGAGCAGCTAGCATGGCCTCCGACAAGCTTGACTGCAAGAGAAGGTACGCACGCCATGAATCTTCTTGTATTCGAAACTGATCAAACTCGTTGTGATAGTGCCATATTACAATGCCTCTTTTTTGCTCGCTATGATGACGATAGTTTCTGATCTTGATTTGTCCACATAATATGTATGATTTATCCACTTTCACATCTTCGACTCATGTCAACAATCGATGACACATCCACCCACTAGATGAGAAAATTGATGAAATGAAGTTAATAAAACCCACCACTTGTTCGAAATTATGGTGAAAATGCCTCGATCACAAGTCTTAGATGTTGGTATGGTGAGAAAATTTCCAATGAGCCCTAAACTACAACCGTTGGAATAATACTCGCAAGGGTGTGTAGGCTCCAGTAAAGCTTAGAAAGATAAACTGAGGAGAGGAAAAATGCAAATCGGTGACTAAAATTTCACCTTCGCCACTTATCTTTGGTATAATAAGAAATAGTTGAAACATGTTTTGGGTTCGGAGATACTGAAGATTATTGACTTCGATAGGTCGTCCACCTGATGAACTCTTGTGCATCTTTAGGAAGAACGAGGATCCATATAGCGGAGCAAACAGCGTTACGGAAGATGGTGCAGAGGCTGATCCAATTACGCTGACCGCCATGGAGTGTGATATCCCTGGCGATGGCTTCCGCTGGAGAAAGTACGGACAGAAACTCGTGAAGGGAAATACTTATCCAAGGTAGGTAACATCGTACTTCTTTTTCGATCTCTCTGTTTCTTTACTTTTCGAGGAAAACGCTTTTTATCCGTCTCACTGAGCTCTGATGATCACAAACTTAAATCTGCTTATTACAATCACAAGAAAAGAAAGAAAAAAAGTTTAATTTGTGAGAACCTGCTCTGGAATAAAGAACTGGTACTCGCAGAAGTTACTACAGATGCACCAGCACCAAATGCAATGTGCGCAAGTATGTGGAGAGGGCTTCGGATGATTCCGGTTATTATGTCACCACGTACGAGGGAAAGCACAATCATGAGATGCCCGAAAGAAAGATCAATTTCGGTGCTTCCGACCCCGATACCGAAGAAGGGTTTAACGGCTCCTCCGATCATAACTTTCAGTAGCACAGGAGGCAAAAAGGAAAGCAAAGAAAAATAAAACTCTCACGGGGAAACGTCTGCTTGGGGAGGGCTTCGGTGCTTGTTGATGATAACTGGTCATGTTCCGAAGGACTACTTCGGATCAAGCCATCGATTGCCTCAAGGGAGCACTCTACCATTTACGATGCATTAAGTTTCAGTGGTATTCTCGGTGATGAGGTGACCAGTGGCTGCTCTCAAGCTCTGCTATCTTTCCTGTGAAACTGAAAGTGGAGAAGCAAGCCTGCAGCAACATCAAATTAATGAACCTTCTCTTTTGCCGAATATTCATATCGATTGCATTTTTTTTTTTTTGTCTCTTGTCTTTCAGTTTCAGTTCAGCCTTTTCTACCCAAAGTTCTAGCAATAAAGAAGTCAAAGTTCCCGTACATTCATTCGTTCACCGACTGGGAGCTGTTTTGAGCTCCTCTTGGGTTACGACTAAGGTGGGTTAAGGGAACTTCCGATGCATGCGAGATTAACTACTGTCCTTGCCGAAAAGCACCTGATGATCGACGACTCCTTTTCGAACGCCCGGTTCCTCAAGTGTTTTTATGAACTTGCTTCGTATTGAATTGTGATGACATCATAATAACTTCAAGATCTACTTCGTTTGTGTTATTCATTTGCTCCAATATCTACTTGAGGGGATGATGGTCGATGAGAATAGGGTCACCAATTTGTATAACAAGTAAGAAAACAAGCAATTCTCTTCATATATCGATGACGAGTTTTTCCTTCGTGCAGTGGTTGACCGTGTGAGCTTCTTGTATAAGAAGAACAGCTCTCGTACCTATTCAGAAACATAAGATCGGTCAACTTCGGAGGTCGAACAGATAACGTTGGCGTATTCCACTGTCTCCTTCAACATTTCATTCCTCACGATGCAACTACTTTGGCTTAACCTAAACCCTAAACCAAGGAATCCTTGGAGCAATCAGGCAGATTGCTGTCGAGACTTCCTGCACGATCTGAATAAGGACGGTGTAGAATTGTAGAAGAAGAAAAGCGTATTACTATGTTGAAACGAGTAAGCTGTAAGCTCGACGGTGTCGCTTTTATGAGGTGGTCCAATTTCCAAAATCATTCCCAAGAATGTAAACAAGATGCAATCGCAATCGGGGTAGTAATTAATGGGTCACTCACCTACCTAACTGCTGCATGATTTTTCTTAATGGGTTAAAAATGCAAAAAAAAAAAGAAAAAAAAGGCCCAGGATTTCAGGATCCATCATGCATTAACTCCCGAGAAAGAGTCCGCCTAATATTTCCTTCTTTTAAGGCCCGTCTCCTTCTCCATCCCAGCAACGCTTGCGGTCGCTTCCACTTGTCCTCTCGGACCCGTCGGTCATCCTCGTGACTCGTGACCACCACCTAATTGCCTTCCCACCAAACCCCTTCTCTGCCCTGTTCTGCACCACGAATCACAAACACGCCACACGCGATGTCTGACAAATTATAATGTTTTCTATGGCAATCTCCAAGTAGCGTTAGGTATCGCGACCGATCTTTAGACCCTACGAAGAACGGCAGGTTCGAGTGTCGGCTCGGACCTAGCGGTGTAGAATATTGTTGGCTGCAGCGTGATCAGGTTTTAAATATTGTAGGTGCAAAATTGATCGACGAAGCCAAACACTCTGGAAGTTCTTGTAAGGTGTGACGTGCGGCCGGTTCGAGGAATCTCCGGTCATCGGTGGCACAATGGTTATTGTGAGCTAAAGCTGTGGGTGTTTATTTATCTTAATCTGCGCCAGTCAGTGCTCTGTCTATATAGTCGGGATCCTCCTTCCATCTCGAATCACTTCGACGGCGAAGAAGAGGCCGAAGCATAAAATGAGCGGTGGAACAGGGTCTCCGTTGCCCATGCTCGAGGTCGAAGGCGTCGTCTTCCCTCCGGTGGTCACGCCACCCGGTTCCACGAAGGCCCACTTCCTCGGTGGCGCAGGTCTGCTCCACCCTCGGCAGTACTTGCTCTCCCCGTCTTGGCTGCTGACGTGAACCGGTGTCACGCAGGTGTTCGGGGCCTGGAGATCGAAGGCAGGTTCGTCGCCTTCACGGCCATCGGCGTCTACCTCGAGGATGCTGCGGTGCAGTCGCTTGCCAGCAAGTGGAAGGGGAAGAGTGCCGACGAGCTCGATGGCGCCGTCGAATTTTTCCGAGACATCTTCGGAGGTCAGACGACTTTATATATATATATATATATATATATATATATATATATATATATATATATCGCAGAAGGAAGCGGATCGTACGGGCATTAGAGTCGTTATTCTTGTGAAGCACATGAGATATTAGCATAAATATTTAGTATAGAATTCTCGCGTTGGTTCTGAAATCCATGGAGACAGGTCCATTTGAGAAATTCACGAGAGTGACGCTGCTGAAGCCACTGACCGGGCAGCAGTACGCGGAGAAGGTGTCAGAGAACTGCACTGCACAGTGGAAGGCGGCCGGAGTCTACGCCGAAGCAGATGGCGCGGCCTTGGAGCAGTTCAAAGAGGCTTTCAGGGCCGAGACCTTCCCTCCCGGCTCCTCCATTCTCTTCACTCATGCCCCTTCTGACTCTCTCCTTGTAGGTTCTCTCTCTCTCTCTCTCTGCCCGCACATCTCTCATTCCCTTCGTATGTCCTACATCTCATTCTCTTCTTACGATCATGCTGCAGATCGCATTCTCCAAGGACGGGTCGATGCCGGAGGCAGGGATCGCCATGATACAGAACCAACCTCTCAGCCAGGGGATTTTGGAGTCCATCATCGGTGAGAATGGCGTCTCCCCTGGAGCGAAAAGGAGCCTGGCACTGCGGTTCTCGGAGCTCCTGAAGCAACACTGCGAGGCAGAAGAGACCAAGCTGGTGAATCCTGTAGCTGTTATCGTCTAAGCGAGTCTGATCGTCTAAAAGGAGTCAGTCCAGTCTGAGTGGCAGTGATGGCCTCATGTCTGAGGCCATGCTTGAGTTCTCTTTACATTTCTTTCAGAAAGTAGAACTTCATTAAGTAATAAAGAACACTAGTCTACCTATGTGTACGGTTAAGTGCTCAAATTTCATCATGGGTAATCATATTGTCAGATTAATTTACAATGATGAAGAGAGATCAATAGGCAATTTACGCTTGGACGAAGAAAATAAATCGAGGATTAAAGTGACTTGTTGATATGCAACCTGACAGAACATAGCTCGCGAATAGCTTTTCTCCTCTGGTAGGCATCAATTATGAAACGAAAACGAAACAACACGCATATCCCATCTCTTCATAGTTGTATCCTACTTCATATTTATCTCTTCATAACACGACTTGAAAAGACTGCAGTTTCCAGGCTCCAATCACTGGGACCAAGTTTGCAAATCTTCACGTTGAAGAAAACAAGGCACAACTACAACCTGTTGCATCTTAAACCCAGCCTTCGTGCAAGACTCCTCCAATGGTTGCAGCTTCGGGGCTCCAATCAATCACTGGGACCAGTTTTTCAAATCTTCATCTTGAAGAACAGAAGGTACAACTACAACCTGTTGCATCTTAAGCCCAGCCTTCGTGCAAGCCGCCTCCAGATTTTTTATTTGAGCAGGTCCTTCAGGGCAGAAAGCCACCACGGCTCCTCCACTACCTGTAAATTTACATGCAGCCCCGACACTCCGAGCTACCTCAACCATCTTGATGTTGAGAGAACCTAGAACATCGTCTCCGAACATTTGCCTGGGTCAGATCACAAAGATAAAGGCAAGGTCGTATTCCATTAGCAGCATTGAACGAAAAGATGTACAACCCCTAATAACCATCTTTCATAAACAAAGAACATTGAGATAGTCCAATCCTAACTAATGTGGATCTACATAACATATATTTCTAATTTTCTTTATTATATTCCCCTCTGGATAACTCCTTATGGAACAGTAAAGGTGAATCACTGCAAAGTATAATAGTACATGTCTGCAAGTAAGCATCCAGAGTTCAACAGGCCGATACATGAAGTGAGAGAGTGTGATGAAGGGATGACTAGACAATAATAGCTGTCCCGGAAATATGCAACAAAATAAAAAAACTTTCAAGAAAAATCAAGTTTAAGAATGCCCATTACTTAAACAGGTTTAATATATTTATGGTAATTGAGTATGCTACAAGATGTATCAACATTTTCATTAGTTCCTGTGAGGACCATCTCTCTCACCCTCTACTGCATTGATGTCATTGTATTGATTTTGTCCTAAGTTAGAAGTGGTTTACAAAGAAACTCTGAAACATTAAAGTCATGCTCATTAACGGTGAGAAGAATGATGGACTAGTGAAGGTCCAATTGGAGCAGCCTACTCAAACCATGAAAAATAACCTTCCCAGCTTGTCTCAAGCTTACAACTACAAAATTGACACGATAATTTGGAACCAAATGGGATCTGAAGTGAGCGAGACCTGTTATGGAGTGCATAGCCAAGTGTACTGCCAAAGAAGGCTATTTCAAGGCTTGAGATGCATGTTTGAAAAATTGATGAAGATTGGAAGGAAATATATGAGGACTCAAAATGAGAATTCCCCTGAATGTAGGATAAGTCTAGCAGATCTTAGGGATGTTCGTAGAAGAGATCCAGCAACCAATGTCCAATTTGTAAAGAAACAAAAGTGCGATCAACCTTGAAATCCTTCGAGAGCACAAAAAGCCAAAGACAGGAGAGTTGACAATTGCCATTTAAGCACAACGTAGCCACAGTCTATGTTTGATTAAGACTGAATGCTGAAGCAGCCACCCTTCCACTTATTAGGGTATCCAACCCCAGAGCTCCGTTAAGGAGTTAAGTTCAACTAAGACTGAAAGAAAACTTGGAACAGTGTTTAACAAAAATACCATTAGCTCAAATGGGTTTTCTATTTAATTTTCTTCACACAAATTGATAGATTATTCTAGGTAGTACCTAAGAGGTATAACACTAATAATGATGAGTGACACAACAATTGATCCTAACGATGATGGAATGACCAGTTATTTAACCGGGAAAGTTTGGATTCATTCTCATAATTATTATAACAAACAAGCAAAAGAGTGTTTTAGTAGTACTGGAGGTGTTAATAACATATCTATAACATGGTCAGCCCTGAAGGCATCCTTGTTCATTTTCTCTAATTTATGTAATTAAATTAGTTTTAAGTCAGATTTTGATTGTCCGATGTGGATGGAGATTTGATGCCAATAGAAGTCCACTTCTGAGACTGTCTTGTTGCGATGATTTTGGATGAGAATGTTCGGGTTGAAACTTGCAAAACTATGGTGGGGGACGTGTCCAACAAAAACCCTCCGATGCTTATGTTAGTTTGGATTCAATTAAATACCGAATCAATAAGGCATAATTTGTATCATAATCTCTCAGATGACCGATGATACACTTGTGGGGAGGCTTTTTTATAGTGTGGAATACAATTATTGAGTCTGAGATCAGGATTAATGCCAAGAATGGGTAAGCGCATCATCCAGTCATGAATGGGATCATGAAGTAATTCGTCAAACCTGAGGAATGCGGGGTAATGACTTACTGAGTCAGCTTTCCGTAGGTGTTGTGTGGCCAATTGTGTGAAGTTGAGTCGAACCCCTCGATAATGCAAAGGTGTCTTTGGCCTTATATGACTTGTTGGTTGAATTGGGTCGGGATGTGGGCCAGATGGTAGAGACATGTTAGCTGCATGAAGGTGACTAGGTGCTGACCAGATGAAGATGAAATGTTGACAACCGTCCATGTGTTATAATCCCTATATCAGGTTAGTAGCTTAGTACTACGATATATATTGTGTGGATGATTCTATTTCCCCATATATTAAAGTAGCAAAGTTAGGAGCTTTAATCCTAGAAAATATATATTGGTTGCTACCTTAAGTAGTAAATTTGACTTGAATGAGAACTTTCAGTTGTTCCTATTTAGTTTAGGGATAATTGATCATTTTTACCATTCATTGTTTCTTACAATTTTGTTCGTTTTGAGGAAATTTTGCCCCTTACATTCTTAGGCATACAATGTGCACTCAGTACATAGTTGCCAGTCAGAAAATTTAGAGGAAAGATTTGCAAGACAATATAGATCCATTAAGCAAACAAACCAATAATAAAGTCCTTATCATAGTCACATACCTTCGAAGATCAAAGTTGCGATTCATCAACATTGCAAGTTCTTTGAAATTCTTTTGGAGTAAAACTTCACGACCCTCTAGGGCTAGCTCTCCTACTTCTTCCATTGAAGATCTTATGAACTTGTCACCATCTAGCCACTTTTGGCGAACAGTGCTATGCACCTATATCACCAATTATAATTACAGTTCCATGATTACGTTGCAACAAATAAAAAATTAAATTGCTAGTTGTTAGCTTATTTAACATGATATGGCAGCTGCAACTTGAAAGCTCTTGAACGCTACTTCATATAAGGCTCAGATGAGGAGATTGTAATATCACAGTTTTAAAATAATATTACCTAAAAGAAGGCAGAAAAGACAGCGAATGTAAGAATAATATAGCAAAAAACATGCTGAAGATCCAAGACTAGCCAATAATAGAAAAAAATGCAACCAACAAAATTTTGGTACCAGAAAATCAAACTGACATACATATTGTAATCAAGCAAGTCATTCCACCAAACTAAACTTCTTATGACATTTGGCTGGATTGATTTGGTACTGCTGTATAGTTTAGAAAGTGTCGGTACTGGTTGAAACTAATTGGATTAGCAGAGAGAGGGAGAGAGAAAAGTAAGAAGAGGAGGAAAAGGAGGCAGGAGTTGCGCCATGCGGCAAAAGAAATGGTGACATGGCAATGCAAATGTGTAGCAGAGGTGGAGCAATAATGTGTACCAGGGGAGAGATAGCGACATAGTGAAGGAATGAGTATTGAAGGAGGAGAAGCAGCAAAGCAAAGAAGATGGTGGCCCAACAGCGAAGGAGAAGGCAAAATGGAGTGGTTGAAGAACAGTAAAAAAAAAGAGAAGAAAAAGAATGAAAGGGGTATGGAGGTAGCAGTAGTGGGTAATAGGCTTATTGCTCTATATAGTTGGGTACCAATCAAGTTACTACTTGATAAATCTGATGTGATGAGATTACGAGATAATTAGCTTGGTTTTGGATCAGACTGGACAAAATTATCTGATCTGCATAACAACAAATCGTTGAACTGATAGAAACCGAAGTATTGATTGGTATAATAGAGATTTGGAAGTGAAATTCAGCTGTGTATAACTGGCATATTCACTAATCTTGTTATAATGTTGCTGAATGTACATTCAGCAACATTTAGCATTGCAGTTGTACCGCCAAAATACCACATCATGCTATAAAAGGAACAATTATTTACTGTAGACAACATTCTTTCATTTTTAAACTTCTATGGCTTCTCATTTGGAGGGTTCTCTCACCTAAAGTGGTTTACTTTGAGTGTGATGTTTCTTCTGCCTTGTGTTCAACTTTTCGACAAGGCAAAGTTGACAAGTTCACTTCTGAGTTGAAATTATTTGAGGTCATTTTAGTTATATGAAAAAAGAAAGACTGACAAGGTAAAGATGGTGACAAAGAACAAAATTATGAATTTTATTTGTTCTACTGGGGCCAATAATTTTCTGTTCATTAATCATAGATTTAAATATCATAACACACTAAACAAAAAATTCCACTATACATCTATATCATCTTATTTTGATAGAGATGCAAAATTGCAAAATATGATGGCTCCTTCAGTATATGCATATAATGGATAAGGTAACAAGTCAAAAACTGAAATTAATTATGCATTTTTTACTTTTATTTTTGTAAAGATCTCATCTAACGGAGAGCTGCTCCACTCACTTAAGATCTACTAGCAGCAGATATCAAGATAAACTACAATTAGCTTAGTGTGGGCTTCAAAACATATTATACTGAACAAACCTTCCCAGAGTCACTTGGATTCTCAGCATATATTACATGGAGAGGAGGAAGAAGACCAATATCCATGGGAACGTACAAACCATGTCCCAGTTTATCCATATGTTCCTTGTTGAAGTCCTGCCAATTTAATTGTGAGAATAAAGTTCATTTGTCAATCGAATACGCAAAGACAAGCAGAGATCCAAAAATGTGCACATATTAGGGCAGATAGGCAAAAAGTATAGAGAAATTGGTGTCACAATATGTGTACATGATAATAGGGAACCATTCTTTACATACATTAAATTTTTAAACGATTTTTATCTAACAAAAGTTCATAAATTTACTATACCATGTAGACAAGGCCTCCATAGACCTGCACAACCCGATCTTGAAGACCAGCAACTATTCCAAGTTCCTTTTCCGCACTAAGAATCAACTCAGGTCTGATGTCAACTTTTACAAGATGTCTAACTTTGAAGAAGTCAAGGAGGCAGTTAAGGGCAGCACAAACTATTGCACTTGAACCAGAAAGCCCAGTCTGTAAAGAAAACAAAACTTAAGATTAGAACCCAGTCCGAAAAAACATCAAAGCATAAAATCTAGCTGACGGTTAAATTTTTTTTGTCAGCTGATGATCATTAATTCTGTTACTACTAGAAAGATAATAGTGCATTTTTTTATGGAAGTAGGGTGCTATAAGGCTTACTAATAATATATCCAACTAAAGCTGCAAGTCAGACATTTTTCTATTTGCATAATGTCTTCAAGTGAATAAAATCACCCCTTTCCATATTCTAAGCAGCAATACTGAAACAATCTTCAAAAGAATTCTTAGTTCAAATTCTTTCACCAAGGTCTACCTTCCAGTAAGAGTATACAGCACATCATATGTAGGATGGATCAGTTTGCACTGTGATCCAGACTATAATTTTAAGATCCAGACTGCAGAGTTTGATCCTTATTACCATAAATTCCAAATAGTCATCATAAGAAACTAAAGTGCATATCCTCTATCAGATAAGTGACTTGAGAACAAGAAGCTCCCAGAAAGAACTGGCAATTCTTCCTACAAGGTTTTCAACTTTCAAAAGTCATAGTGGTTTTAACATTTTCCCAGGTCATAGCACGAGGTATTTTGCCCTTTAACATTGAATCTAAATTGAGTAGGACATGTTTACTCATCTAGTTTGTGCAAACTCCTTACTAATTTTTAATAGTTGTTCAAAGTTTACCTTTTTCAGACTTCCAACCAGGGTCTGCTGTACCGAACCATACCGCCCGGTACGGGCGGTATGTACCGGTCCGACAGGTTGTCGGTACGCGGACTGCCTGTTACCGGTCCGGGTGCACTGTAGCAGTGCTACAGTACTCGGCACACCTGGGTGTACCGCTCGGTATACCGTACCATATCGGTACCGAGCCCAGGTCGAAATACCGATACGGTACGGTATTGCGAACCTTGCTTCCAACAATTCATTCAAGCCACAATAAAGTTAAAGGAGAAAATTAGGGTCCGGTGCTAAAGACATTGGTTCAACTTTTGTGAAGAGTGGCAAACATAACATTGATCTTCACCTAAGCCAATAGGTGAATATTATAATTTATAATACCAATTTCTACCGAGCTAGTAATCTAAATCATGTATTAAACCACCTAGGTTCCAAACATGAATCAAACATAACACATGTCAGGAAATGAATCTGGTGGAAACCATCATATAATTGTCAGGCCATAGCCATCTGGAACTAGTTTATACAAGGCAGTCTTGCACTCACAGAATCCTAATTTTTAATCTTGGTTCATTCTAAGTTTATTTTGTTGCATAAAAAAATGAATTTATTAGGTGATATGAACCAAGACCATGGTCATGTGGTACCAACCAGTACACCATCCTCTACTGGTTGGTTAAAAAACAATATAATTTAAATGAAGAAGAAATAATGTAACATATTACAGATTGCTATCAGCTACTTTTTCTTGATCCTACTCTTTCTCATCTTCTTATCTTCTTTTTGTCTTCCTTTCAAAACATCATGTTGCTCAATGATCAATGAACACAACAATTGTAGATATCAGGCAGGCTGCAACTTGCTATCATGCTTGCTTTTTGATGTTAACTGATTGGGTTAAGCTGTTTCAAAGCTGAATCATACAAGAGGTCAGAATATCACCTGATTTCTGGGCGGTTTTTCTGAAATCAAGAGGTAAATTATGTTTTTGAACCAAAACCGCTTATTCAGCAGGTATATAACAAACCAGGCAGTATAGCTGATTCCACTAACCACCCAATGATAAAACCAGTCAAATCAATAAAACCTGGTACCACTGTAGGCAGTAATGCAGCTTACTGCCTAGAGGTTGGACCAGTAAAAACGAGCCGGACCATATATCAGTATGACTAGAATTTTGATCATTGATAGGAACAATGCCAAACCTTGTAGGTTGCTTATGAACCAGGAGTTTAATAATCATGAGCTGATAATGCCTGAAAGTATACTAGTTCACAGAATATCAAATATATAATGTAAAATCAAGGTTCGTCATACCACAGCATACCGCTCAGTACGACGGTATGTACTGGTCCGACAAGGGACCAGTATGGGCGATACATCAGTACATCTCCATGTACTATGTATCGGTACACTCGGTATGACTCGGTACAGCTCGATATGTACCGTACCAACAATTAATTGGTACACCGATATGGACCGGTAAAATGAACCATGTGTGTGTGTATATATATATATATATATATATATATATATATATATATATATATATATATATACACCATCCGGTAACGGACAGTCCGTGTACTAGTCAACTGACGGACCGATACGTACCGCCCGATACGGGCGGTATTATTCAAAACTACATATATATGTATGTATATATATATATATATTTATTTATTTATTTATGTATATATATATATATATATATATATATATATACTGAGCGATATACCGAACAGTATACCGCTCGGTATACTATATCGTATCGTACCGAACGAATGTCGAAACGCTGATACAGTATTTCAAACCTTGGTTGTATGTATACCTAAGCAATGATTGTTGTACATCTCAAAACGGTACAAAATGGGTGGTATGTACTGGTACAGGCATGGGTCGGTACATGTATCACCCCTGTTTTGGGCAGCCCGATCTAGTTCGGTGAAAGTAATTAAAAAATAAAAAAAGCAACGGGGCCCATCCAACTCGACATTAAAATAAGAAAATAACTTAAAATAGAAATTAGGGCTTGCAAACATAAGCCCTCTTCTCACGTTCTTTGCTGCTGCCGCTGCTTCGTGACTGCTTCACCGCTGTTAACTCGACATTGCCACTGCATTCCTTCTTCTTCCTAAGTACGCTCCCACCTCTTCTCCTCTTCCTCTTCTTCCTTCTTCTTTCTCCTTGTCCATCGCTTCTTCTTCTTCCTCCTCTACCGCTTCCTCTTCTTCTTTCTTCCTTCTTCCCCCATCGCCCCTTCCTTTTCTCCCTTTTTTCTTCCACTCTGAAACACTAGTATGTACTAGCATACCATATGTCGGTACACCGGTACATACCGGTCCAACAGATCTCCAAAACGAGTCCGGTACCCGAAACAACAATTCTTGTACACAAGAGTTGCATTGGTCAGTCCTTAAGAATTAAGCATACACCCCATCGCATTGATTGTTCTATTGATGGAGAGTTTTGCCAATAACTGGGATGATGCAGGATACGAGATGATCAACATGTATATTAAAAATTCTACATTCAAGTGTAAGAAGAAAAAGTGTTAGATGCTCCAATTCCTTGAAAAGTTCAATAGATTACCAAAATACAAAGCCATATAAACTAAGCAATTCCATATGTATGAACGGCCTACAAAATGTAAATTGGCCCCAAAACTTCACCTGACGAGGGATGTTTGTTTCATAAGACAGAGTGAAGTTTCCTCCTTTTAGCTCAATTTTATTGTCAGAGCAATAGTTGTAGAAAACCTTACAGATAGCCATCAGCAATCTCATCCCTCCATAGTAACCTTCACTTTGTAAACGACATACCTGAAATGAACATACCATCACGAGTCTGTATCCAGGTGAAAATTAGAAACAATATCTTCACAATGATATGATGCAAAAGGAGAGTTCTTACTCGACAAACTTGAGAAAAAATACAGTTTATTTTAACAAAAAATTATCCTTTGTTAAATTCAATTAGCAGTGGCGTAAACCAAGAAATAAGAAACTTGATTGATGGTAACGATCCTCATCATCCCCATTATCCAAATCTTTATACATGGCCTAGAAAAGGCTGGTCTCTGGAAATTGACATAAACCAAGATTTAACTATAGAAAGAATCTTGCATGAAAAGGACAAAAAGCCCCCGGTAAGAATCTTGTGGCAAGCGATTCCAAGAAACACAAGGAAAAAAAGCACCCGAAGCATCCTCTACAACTTCCAACATCATCACAGAGGCTCCGAGCAACCGAATCCTCCAGAGACATTGCACGTGCTATGAAATATAACATGTAAAGGTTATAGAAGTCAGATGCCACAACAGTCAAAAAAAAGTTCATTGAATTTATCTATACTTTTTTAAGTTTGAGCGAATGAAAAAAAAAATGTTCGTTAATAATCCCATACTTCCATTTTCCGTTTTCGTTGACAAATTTGGTTATTGGTGAAAAAGATTCACAAGACCGGGGAGCACCATACTTACCGAATAGTTGAAGAAAGAGGATCTTAATGATTGGCAAACAAAGAGGACGCGAATACAGATCTATAAATATAATAAGACCGAAAACACGAGATGAGGAAGAGGAGGAGTACAAGATGGTGGATCGAGGAAAAGGAAACGAGATCATGAGTGAGGTGCGGGCGGATGACGAGGTCGGCGGACGGCTCGAGGCGGACGTTGGCGCAGAAATTGCCGATCGAGAGGGAGATAGTGCGACCGTAGTAGACATCGCTAGGGTTCCCCAGTAGTCCGATGCGGGCGTACGCCTTGTGCTCGATGGTTGAGACGAAACCCTGGGCCGCCATGGTTTGCGCCAGAGAAACTACAGTCGTCGCCCTTCGGATCAATCCCGCCCAGCCGCTGCCGATTATATATTTGCCACACCTGCCATGCACGTGGAATGATATAGATCGAGTCGTCAAAAAATCGAATGATAAAAAAAATCTTATTAAAAAATTTGAATCATACAGTGAGATGGGAGTTGACCAGAAAAAATTTGACTCTTAAAAGTCGTGACGACGACGGCCCCAGAAAAAATCTATAAATTTACCTAAAAATAACAATACGTGAAATTACAGAATCACGCCTACCGATCAAAGTTGACCTATTGATCCGAGTTTACCAGGGTTGACCACTCAACTACCTCTTCTCTACGGTAGCTGCCACGATCACACTGGCCGACCGACGACGGAGATCGACGACCGGACGTCGGAGACGAGGAGGAAGCAGTTATTGGTCAGATTTAGGCCAGAGAAGTGTGAGTTCTCTCTTTCACGACTTCCTCGCTTCATAGCTTTCTCCTCTCATTTCTCTTATCACCTTTGACTATGGTCAACAAGCTAGTATAATAGTTGCTCCTTTCCTTTTATCTTCAAGATTTACTTGCACTCAATCAACTTGCGAAAGTTTATAGGTGCCATAAAAGTCAATCACGTCAGTAATAACATGTATGACATAGTATATACTTTTATTTTTTATTATTATTATATTTTCGATATCGAGATAATCGGATAAATTTGTGTATTGTACACTCATCTATACGATGGAGTTGACTAATCTCATAGCTACTCATTATAGAATGAGTTCACTGATTAATTCGCTCACAGAATGCTAGATAACTAATGATATCTTATTATTAGGCAACGATTCCGTTGTCATAATAGTGTATCTGGTCCTTAGACTTAAGACACCAAGGATGTCTTGTATGAGTACTCCACTCTTTGATATCAAACTTATAGGTCTGGAAGTTTTAGATCTAGCACAATCAGTCATTAAGAGTGATAGCCAGCCTTATGAGGACTATTTAAGTATCGATGAAGGATCATCTAATCTCGGTATCATGAAAGGAATATCTATGTGTTTTTACTCAGACAAATCTTTGGCCAAGATCATTTGGATTGAGAGAGAAAGAGACTCGAGCAAAAACCGTATTGGCCTAATAGCATCATACCCGGTATACAGTCTCTAGGATATTAGATGAATGAGAGACTATATGTACATGGTAATTAAGGATAAACAGGTCTAATAAATTGGATTCTCCTGTATCGTTTGGAGACTGCAGCGTAGTGACATAATATATCCGTAAGTCGATGAGTTGAGTGAATTATTATTGAAGTAATAGTTCATTGAGCCAAAACGAGTTCTAACATATATGACTCACAGCCAACTCGATATTGGGCCTAGATGGTCACACACATATGGTAGGTGTTGCGACGAGGTTCGAATATGAGATATCTGTTAAAGCCCCTATATTATTAGATATTCAATAAGCTCATGAATTATTGGATCATATAGACGAGATCCAATAAGAGCCAATTATTGATTATTGGATAAAGACTCACTAATCTAAAAGGCTTGGGTAGTTGGATAGAGATCCAATATCCTATAGAGCAAGATCTATTATGTTAAGTTGATAGGGGACCTCTATAAATAGGAGGGAACCAAAGAGCCATAAGTTGGGTCTTCTTAGTTGTCTCCTCCTATTCTCCTCTCCCCTTCTCCTCCTTAGCTAATTAGTGTGGAGATTCAGGATTACTACTAAAGAGGAGGACAATTGATCTCATTCGTTCTCTCCCATAAATCTATAGGTTTTCAAGGATATACGATCTTCCTAAGTAACACATTTTTCTTATATGCGTATAGGTTTTTGCATACCAATCTTCGCACTACGATGAAATCTTTTTGTGTAAATTTGAAAATTTTATTTTATATTCTTCTACTATGTATGTGATGTCGCCCCTAGATTTTCCTATAGAGGCTTCGCCAATTCCCAAGTATATTTTTTCAATATCGATTGAAACTACTCTATCATTGCTTAATACCACTTCTTTGAGTCTAGACTACGAAAAAGTTAGTTTTTTTACGCTTTGCGACTCCTTAGCAATAGCTGAGTGCTTAGATGATGACATTCGTGTACTTTGGATTTAGATGTTGTATGTGGTTGCTCGAGAGCAATGCTATAGGGTTGCTCCTCCTCATCTGATTATGGTTCTTCCTCTTTTTTATTTTCCAAAGATGTATGAGTGGTGGCAAGTTCTTCAAGGATAATTGATGATTTTAGAATCAAAACTCAGTATACAATCGAATCTATATCTTTTACAACCTCTTACTTATCCTTTCACAAAAGCACATATTCATAAAAAATAAGCATCATATTTTAAAACTTTTTACTCCTAATGGATAATCTAAAAAAATGCATCATTTTTTACCTAGGTTCTACTTTACCATCATTTACCCTATATATACTTTATAATTAAAAAAATCTTAAATGTGAATAAGAGGTAGGGGATCCACTCCACTTTTCATCTAGGGTCTTAAACTCAATAGCAGATGATGACGATCTATTTGTTAAGTAGCATGCAGATGATGTTGCCTTGGCCCAAAATGACTTTAGAAGTTCAATGTTTGAGATCATGCAACGTCCCATGGTACGATTCATTCTCTATGTTACCCTATTCTGTTGTGGAGTGTGAAGTTATTCATGTCATTTCTTTGCACAATAATTATTAAATTCATCGTTGTAAAATTGTATGATATTGTCGGTACCAAATACCCAAACATATCTCTCAATTTTTTTATTCATCATATTTTTAATATTTAAAATTTATTAAAAATATTACTCTTATGATTAACAAAATATACAGATAGATACCTTCATTGCAAAGTCATCAATATGATGAGCATACGGGGATCCTCGATGTAGTCAAGAATTCCTTTGTCTTAATATTTTTATTATAATTATCGACTTTGAAAATGATGAAAATCTCTATCGTCTCCTTTCTTCGTATGCTCGTCGTCTTCACCTTGACCTCGGGTAACATTTCGACTTACATATTTTCGATGATTACATAGACTCATTTCCCATAATTATGATTATTATTATTATTATATTAGACAGCCTATAATTATTCAGTCTTTGGTCAATGTGCCCTTCCACCTTTTTTTCTTAAATTTTTATTTCATACACATTGTTCCTGGATGATTTTTATTTGGATCTAATAGAAACTTTATCGTGGGATTTTTATCATAATTTTTTACTTAATTAATTGGAACATGCAGTTGATAATATGGTGTCCGAGGTGGCTGAGGAAGATGCCAAGTATCCACTCATATGAGAATATAATTATAATAAGATGATGTGATAAGCAAGCTATTACGGAATTTTAAGTGACTTTCTATTTATTTAACAACAAAAAAAAAAGTTCCTCATCAGCGCTAGACATTATTAATAGTTCGATAAATCCCCTATCAACTTTGTTCTTCTTCAATCTTTCATTAAAGATGAACAACGGTACCTACAAACAAAAACAAAAAACAAACAACACTTCTCTTTCGACACGCTCGTATCATTTTGAATTGATGAAAAGTTTTACCTTTTGCTCCATCGTATTTTCTCGTAATGAGATAAAGAGAACAGGAAATATTTGTTTTTATCGTCGATCGATCAAAACTCCTCACGCTTCCAGTGGATTGAATTATGTTAATACGATGAAATTGGGTCTAGAATTGCAACCTAATTCCTTTTTTTTTCTTGCAAATATATTTTGTAGCCAATTTAATTTGAGCCATTTGGTAAGATAGGCTATCTCTAATTTGTTTTTTGTTATCTATATAACTTAGATAGACAAATCCTTCATCTTTCATTCGATTTTCTTACAAATGGTCAAAGCAAAGAAGGAATGAAGTTTGCATGTTTCAGTTTGTTGTTAATACGATCTATAATGCAAGGTTTTATCATCATCAATGAAGCAAGCAAAGCAGACCTTTTCGTAGCAAATCCTCTGTTGCCTGCGCTATTCTTCCTTCTCTTTTGGCTGTGAATATTAAATCCAACAAAACCCATTGCGACGGAAAGACGTCCATTAAAATAACGTCGACTTGGTTGGGAAGGCCATGAACTCCGAGGAAGTAACCGAGAAGGAGAGAAAGGAAGGTCAGAAACGACACTATGATTCAAACCGTGAGCTGCTGCCGCACCGGGACGCAACACACACCTACAACATATATTACTTGTACTGCGGCTCCCACTATGTGGCGATCAAACCCCACCATCAATTGTCTTCTATTTCTGTCTTTCTCTGTCCCTCACTCGAGAAGATTCACCGAAAAGACGACCCACAGGTCCTCGTCAGTGAAGAACTTGGCCTCCTCGTCCGCCGCCAGCTCCGCCTGCATTTCCCTCGACCAGTCACTGTCATCGCCCACTCCGCTGCAGCCCTGGGCCTGCTCGCAACTGTCATTGCCCACATAGCTGCTCTGCGAGGCCTCTGGTTCCGTCTCCGCTTCCCGATCGCCGTTCCTCGCGAACCTACCCTTGACTCGCGGCCGGCTGTCGGCAAACGTCTTCCTGCATGCGTACTGCAAGGAAACGAGTGAGTGTCACAAATTCGATTTTCCTCACAAATTACGTTGTCGTAATCGAGTAACGTGAAAAATAATATATAACGAAGAAATGGAACGGAACGGTGCTCACGGTGATCTTCTTGTGGAAATTCCTCTGGTTTCGCTTGCTCCGGTACCTTTCGATCCTCTCCTTCCTCTCCTGGCCGCTGTACCGCCCCACTCTCCCGACAATTTCGCGTCCTTCCTGGTTGTACTTCTCCCCTGAAGCCAGGACACCGCCCATCCCCTGTTTTGATCAAACTCGCGAAGGAGGATCAAAGTTCGTGTTTTGTTCGAGTAACGCACAGATTTTGTTCGCTCACCTGGATGTTCCCGGTGCTCAAGACGTGCCTCACTGGACCTGCATCCGAGTCGATGAAGTTGCGTGAGGTGGGGGGCGGGGACGACGAGGTGAGCAGCGTCAAAGGTGGCTGCTGCTGCCGGTGGTGATTCTGGAGAGAGGAGAGGAAGGGC